GGCACTTGGGGCCTCCTGGCATAACCTCCCCCCACATGGCATGGGGCAGCTTGTCTTGGCCCCAGCCATCTGGCACCCGGCGCTGCTTCTGCCACATCATGTGGATGCAGCCCAGCCTGGTGCGGTGCAGTGCCACACGGGTCCATGCACCTTCAGGCAGCTTTGGGCTGCTCAGGCTGTCACCTGGGGCTCTGCACCTCTTGCGGGGACTGTCTGTCACACCGGGCCAGGTCCTGAATGCACAAAACCAACTCGGCCTGATGGTGCACGAGGCCTGTGCATGCAGGACCCAGCCTGGCACAACAGGCAGTCCCTGTGAGCAGTGTGGGGCCCTGGGTGACAGCTTGAGCAGCCCAGAGCTGCCTGAAGGTGCACGGCACCGTGCCAAGACAGGTCAGGTCCGTATGACTTGCCACAAGCAGCGACAGGTGCCAGGCAGCTGGGGCCAAGCCACTCTGCCCCGTGCTGCAGGGAGGGCTTTGCCAGGACAGCCCTGAGCGCCCTGCTGGGCTGCTGCTGTGGGGTGGGGGGCGTGCTGTGGGCTGTGTGGAGGGCAGGTGGGGGACCTACTCCTCCCGAGTAACCCCCCAACTCCAGTCCCCCCCACCCCCAGTCCCTTATTTACCTGGGACAGAGCTGGGGTCCATGCAGGCTGCATCGCTCCTGTCTGCCCCGCACATGGAGGCAGCATGCTTCAACACCGGGGCAAGGGGCAGCCATAGCGATGCTCTGGCTAGCTGCCAGAGCATCTCTTTGGAGGACCCGAGCCTCCACTTCCCTCAGGACTGTGCCCTGCCCTACTTTTTTTCTGTGAGTTTTTTATTTTGATACCTGGATATCCAGGTATCTAGTTTTGAGACCCCGCTGCAAATATGCAGCCTGGGGAACATTTTTTTTGTTCTTCCGGTCCACTTCTGGGTCTGCCAGGGAGTATGCAGGGAGGCCCCTGCGCCCCCCTAGTTCAGTAATTGGTGAACTTTTGGGGGGCACCCTGGGTCCCCCTGTGGCTGATCGCTGAGCTGGGGGGATGCAGGGGGCCCCGCTATGGCCTCAGCAGCAGACCCAGAAATGGTCTGGGTTTGCCACCAAGCACGCGGGGGGGCCCCTCACACTCCTGTGGGACGCTCCATCCACCCCAGCATTGCAGCGATCACAAGCCGTGCCTGATACCTCAAGGTATGTAGAGAAAACTTTTAAAGTTATGTCCATGTTCAAATCACTGATTCTCTGAATCAACATTGAATCTTCAGATTCAGAGTTGGCTGAATCAAACTGGGGATAGTGATCTGAATCAACGAATCAAATCACTGTCCCCGATTCAGGCCGAATCCGAATTGAATACAGCCTGTTTCACACACCCCGACAGCACAGTACATTCTTTTTCAAAGAAAAGTTTTTAGAAATTACAAGCATGAAAGGACAAAAGTATGCTACAAATAAAGAACTGAAAATAGAAAATGGTACTTGAGGAAGCTGCTAATATGACCTTCCTATTTAAACAAATATTTGTTCTAGATCAGCGGTTCCCAACCTCTTTGGAGTCAAGGCACCCCTCTGAAAATGTCAGCTATTAGTTTTCACTCATTTTTTGACTCTAGATGGCATCCTAGTTGAGAATCACTGTTCTAGATTAGAATAATGAATAGGAACTGTAGCTCTTTTAGAAGAGGACACTGAAGGTTTGTAATTCCAGTTATATTACATTTTAGACCTCAGCGTAGTCGGAGCCAGACTCTATTTGATCTGCTTTGGCAAAGTGTCCTGCTGCAGGGTTCCTGCTGCTGGCCCTTACAAATCCTGGTATATGAAATGCATCCATGTATTTAAGCATTCTTCTGAGTGGTAAAAATCTACTGTCTGTGGTTTGTCATGTTCAATTTAATTAAAAACACTGAACCATGCAGTCTGGTCCTTATCCTCATATGGGATGAGCATCCAGAGCTCCCTGTGAGTTCAGCAAGAACTGTGGGCAAACAACACTTCCAGACAGCCTATTGTCTGAATAGGAAATAGGTATTGATAATGTGATCTGATCTTTTTAAAACATATCTAAGAGAAGTTTTAAAAATAATCAAACTGGAATCAGTATACCATTTTCTGGTATTATAAAAATAAAAGCAAAAGTCAAAATACTGCTGCTTTGCCAATTAAAACAGCTGGGCTGTTGTGCAGACTGGAATATTACTCTCAGTCTGTATTACTGGGGAAGTATATTTCATGTGAAGAGATTATACTGTAGTTCTGGTTTGGTAGGACAAAATGTAATGTGTCTTTGTTTGCAAAACAGCCCTTGCTAATTAAGTTATAAGCAGTTGGGGTGGGAATTTGTCCAGAGGTCTCTCATATTAGTGTTATGATGGAACCAGAAAGACCACTTTCAAAATTTTGAATGATAAACAAGCATTACTAGCTGGTTCTTTATACTTATATAAAACTTGTATAAATTCAAATGCTGTTTCTTCTCTTTGTGTGGGTCAAGTGGTATAAAATCTAATTTTCATAAAAATCAGCAATATTTTAGATACATTTATAAAAGATTTATAAACTTAGACTTCTTAACACCTTGCTTTCTGTCAAGGAAACTAACCTGCTTCTTAGTGTTCAACTAATGGTACAATATTTTTTTTTACTTTGGATTGTTTTCCCTTTTCCTATGGTATGATTATTAAGAGAGAGGGGGAAGTGATGCAGAGAGTAAGGGATTTGTCTTAAGTCACATTGGAAGTATGAGCAAGAACCAGGGCTTACACTTACATTTCCCTAGTTCCAGGCCAGTGCCTTAGGTGCGAGAGACATTTCTCTCTCAAGCCTTTCTTTTTCTCTGGGAACAATTTCTTACACATCTAGAATTCTTCATCATGGAAACTGGTGTTGCTATCAGATCAGCATTATGGCATGTATGCACAAAAAATACATGTGCACGATACCAGAAAATATAGGAAACAGTATGGTGGCACAAAGAAAATTTGCAGAATGTCTTTGGGATGCCTCTTGGGAGCTCTGTTCTAAAGCATGTAATAAAGTAGGCAGCGGATAACAAATCAGGGTATTTGGCTAATACAGTTCTCTGAAAGGGAGGCCAGTCTTGATGACCTCTCATATTCCAGTAGTGTTGCCATTTGTAACTTGCTGCAATTTTGAATGTTCTTTTTCAAAACAGGACTTTAATCTTAAACATACCTCTCTGACTATATCATTGCCCTGTACAAGTTCAGTAGTCTTCCACACAGAAATAATCAGTGAAAGAACCTAATAGACTCCAAGCAGATTCAGGCTTTTTTTTTTCCCTCTGCTTTTTATAGACCTCCAGAATTACACGCTCTGATGAAGATAAAGAAGGTGGCTGGGATGCCTGGGGAGCCTGGAGTGATTGCTCGCGGACTTGTGGAGGGGGAGCCTCATATTCTCTAAGGAGATGTTTAAATGGCAGGTTAGCCACACACTTCATCGATATCTTCCTTTTCAGCTGTGCTGTGGTTTTCTGTCCCCTTCACCTACCATACAATGTCTTGTGAAACACTATCTCTTCTCTTTGTGTGTGTCAAGTGGGATGAAATCTAATGGTTTTCATAAGTTGTTGGTTGTAACTGTGTTGGTCTAAGGACATAGGCAGACAAGGTTCTTTATGTACATGTGCTATCTTTATGAGACCTACTAAATAGTTGGAAAAATGGTTCTTTGCAATGTTTTGTGCACAAGCACCCTTTTTTAGGCACTGGAGAGGTGACTCTCTTATGCCTGAATAAGGGTGTTTGCCCCTCAAAACTTGCAAAGAACATCTTTTCCAATTATTTAGTTGGTCTAATACAGTGGTTCCCAACCTTTTTTTTTCTGTGACCTGCTGCTGGGAATGGAGTGTGGCAGCAGTGGCTGGGGCTGGGGTCGGGGGGCCCGGCATGCCACGTGGCTCATCTTTTGTGTGCAGTGCCACTGGCATTGCCCCCGCGACCCTCATTTGGGTTGCGACCCAGGTTTGGGAACCTGGTCTAATAAAAGATATCACATTTACCCAAATAACCTTGTATCCAATGGTTTTCATAAGAATCAGTAACATTTTAGATAAATACCTAGGCTTCATAAGCATGTGCTCAACTGCTTTTCTGCGCTGGGGTATTAAAGAGCAAAAATGACTCATTTTATGTTACTCAAAGTTCCCACCACTAGGAAGTAGATGTCCAAATCTATGTCATGCATACCTGTTTGTGTGTCCCTAGCAGATGTATTCAGTGGAATGTTTTGCACAGTGTGCAGTGGCAAGACGTGTGGTGTTCTTATAGTCAAAACCAACCAATTCACTCTACATGCAGGATATTCATTGCACAACCATTCTCCACACTGGAGAAACTCCCTTAAGTGGCTGTCTCAAGGGGAGTTGAAGGAAATATGGTGATCTCATCGCATCTGGAGATGAGCAGTAGTGTGTAGGGGGTTGCTTTTTTGAACAGCTGTAGAAGACCTTGAATTTCTACCCTGCCTGCCTATCATGTTATGGAGATTGCAGTCTATCCATTAGTTCTGCACTAATTACTTAATATATCCTGGGTCAGCAGTGATGGGGTGAGGGAAGAAGTCTTCATCACAGTAGTCTCAGATTCTCTGCTTAACTATACGTTGTAAAGAATTAAGACTTTGGGCACACTGGATGTTTTAAATTTCTTGGCTGAGATTGCCAAAGAAGAGTCTGTTCCTAGTAGCCTCTGATGTGTCCTCATAAACTTAACATAGTGCTATTAGACTGTATTAGGAACCAGGTATCTACTGAATGCCTCACAGAACATTTCACATCTGCTGGAGAGGTCTGTTTCCTTCCCAAAAAGGAAGTCCTGTAGCTACCACCCACTAATTTCATACCACACTTTTGGATAAGCCACCGTGGAGCTTGGAGAGTAAACTCATTCTTTCTAATGAAGAATGTGTTATAAATCCAAACTGTACGAAAGGGTTTGACTTTAGCTCTTTAAGTTCAATCCACCTATGTGTGTAAAGCTCACTAATATAGGTCCTGATCTCACAGTCCTTCTAGTAGACCTGTAGTTATAAGAAAGGATTACTGAAGTGCATAGGAGTTTCAGTATTAGGTCCACAATTCCTTTTGTTATTGAATTCCTCCTGAATTACATTATTCAAAACATGTATCGATTATGTTTAAATTTCCATTTTGTTAGGTTTTCACTTTATATGGCATAATAGCCAAAAAATGAATTTTGCTTAATGAAGACTTGTAATGTGATATCCCAGTCAAGTCCTGGCAATGTGAAATCCATGGCTAAAGCTGACCATTATTAAAACAGTTCCTGTTTCTTTTTGTGCAGAATGCAAGAAACTCTTTGAATATAGCAACATTTGCAGCAAACAGCCACAATATTCTTTCACTGTGTTAGTGACTGTAAAATGAGTGCAATAAATTGTAGCAATATAAATTCCAGTGTTCTTTTATTAATATTTTAATGTATTCCCCTGGGGGAAAAACATGTGTCTTCTATACTTTGACAAATTTATAGTTTCAAATTTTTTTGTGTATTTTTATTGTTGTTGTAATGTCTAGGAAATACAAAGCTGTGAAACAACATTTTCACATGTTTATGCAGCATGAACATAATTAGTGTGTATGTTGTTACACAGTGATTCTCAGGGCAAGTAGGAAACTGAAGACAATGTTTTGAGCTGGGGGGGTTGCATGTTCAGATCAGCTGAGTGAAGTTTTGCCCCAGGCCCTCCACAAACCTGGCCTTTTTATCAGTTTCTCATACATTTTATTGGATATTTTTATAATTGGATATTTTTATAATCTTTTGCCAAATTAAAAATTATGCAAAAAAGAAGTAAATTCAGTATGCGAGATGCAACTGCTTGCTACCACTCATTCTGTTGGTGTGGAAGGCAGGTTTTATTAGCACTATATGGCTGTTCAAATGACTCTTCCGGATTTTAGAAACTACATTTAATTACAAGGTAATTACTTGTAAAGCTATTTAAAATATCTACCTGTACCTATTTACTTTGTCTACATTCTGACTCCCTTATTTGAGATGAGTAGTAGATTACTCTATGCAAACTTCCAGTCAATGGGGTTGCTCCTAATGTGACAAGGCTATGGAAGTCTTGAAAACCTGGCCCTTCTAGCGTAAACTTCCCCCGTGCTACATATGCTCATAGGAAATTAATACAGTACTTATGGAAAGTGCAATATATAATTTCTTTATTAAAGGGGAACCCTTTCTTTCAGTTGTCAGCAAAAGACTTCACAAAAGGTTTGCATTTTCTAGATTTCAGGGTTCACATGTAATGGGCACCTAAGAAATATCTATATTTTTATTTATAGTTAATTTAAATTAAGACAGATTGTAGGTATAGAGTAGTGCTTCAAAAGCTTTTCAGAGCCATGGCTGACTGTCAGCTTTCAATATTTACCGTGGACTGTATAAAAGCATCATCTAACTTTTAATTGAAAAAGGGAATGAGAGGAATTAATGCCCATTAGTTATGTGCTCAATATGGCCAAAACAGTGTGATTCCCTTCTGAATCTTCTCCCCTTCCACATACATCAGGACAAACACTGGTGAAGCCAACTGACTTCCATCAGGAACCTAAATTTGTCCTGCATAACATTGGTAGCAGGTTGGGATCATGATACAGGAAACTTAACAGGAAAAACATACTTTGTTTGTGGACAGATAGCACTGCAACCTTCAGAATTTGCAGCCCCCTTTGTGGAGGTCTGTGTTTAAGCCTTATATTTTGGGTACAGGTTACATTAGAGTAGTAATAGAGTAATAACAATCCAATTTTCAGGAGAATAAGTAGTTATAAGAGATGTAGGATTTTTTACTTATATTTCTGATCAAACCGTTTGCATTCTGTTTTTCAGGAACTGTGAAGGTCGCAATATTCGATACAAAACCTGCAGTAACAATGTGAGTCTGGCCTGTAATTTTGTTTTACTGCTTCCATCATTACTTCAAATAATGTGTAAAGTTTCAGAAATTCTACTACTTGTTTAAAATCTAATGATGGATAGTTTTCTTTCCACTCTCTATTATTCCACATTTTAAGGATTTGATTGATGTCATCAGGCTTTGAGTTTGCACTTCCAAAATGGACATCAGTTCTTTGGAATCTGAGGGCACTTTTACACGTGCTTCAACGTGTTCGTATTAGAATGTGTTGGAGCAGACTCGCTTAATCGAGTCTGCTGGAGCACTCTAACCATCTTGTGTATTCAGTATCCCCCCATTTCAAAATGGTGGCAGGGGCACTTTAACTAATGCATCTTGACTCAGCTTTAGTTAAAGCACCCCCTCCACCATTTTGAACTGCGGGACACTGAATACACAAGATACTGTGGGCATTTTAATTAAAGTGGCCCCTGACAGCCACTCCCTGTATGCTCTATTCAAGAATATGCCTATGCATATTTCAACTTGCGCATTGTGACTACTACCATACTAGTAGAAATAAATTAAATACAGAATCCGTGATGCAAAAAGAATAAAAATATACATATTATGTATAAAGAAGATGAGAAGCAAATAAGACCTATATGTCTCTGTTGCTGGTACGTGTTGTAGGGCTTGATTCCCCACTTGACTGGTGATGTCAGGGTGGGTCCCTGAGTTAGCACCACCTGAGTGTTCTGGTTGCCGTTCCTGCTCGCCCACCACAACTTGATGTTCTTCTTGGGAGACAGTTCCCACCAAGTGGTTTGTGGGATCCCACACCCTGGTTCCTTCGTGGGGCTCCAACCTCCCCTTCGCCCCACCCTTACCACATCCAAGGCCAGAACAGATGTCGGTGTCTTGAGATCTCAATTACAGATGATCACTTCTCATCTGAAAGTCCCACCATTGAGGGATGTGCTCTCCCGGCCGCCAGCTCCTCATAGGCTGTCCCTTGGCTACAGACTGAGGCCACTGTAACTGAATTCGCCTCAATCCTGAGGTACTAGTGTTCTCATAAAGGAAAACCCAGAAGCAAACGTCAATGAAAATCAATCAGTGTGCACTGGTATGGACCCTGGATCATGCTTCCCCAGGCCCTCAGGCCCCTGGTGGGGTGCCTCTTTTCTCCCCCTTTAATGAGCTGTGCTCTGTGGGCTTGGCAGCTCCTCACTGCACCCTCATAGCCCTAATATGGACCCTCCAATGGGTCACCACCCTTTCTCACCTCAGCCGTGTCTAACTTGAAGCTGGGTCTGGCCAGGTCACTCTTGCTGTCACTCCAGCTGCCCGTCTCGGTGGCCCTGTTCTGCTCCCCACTGTGCACTGGCCCCTTGCTGCTGCAGCCCCATGGCTCCATGCCACCAACTGTTCTGCTGCCCAGCTTGGCCCCGAGCTTCTGCCCCTCTGCAGGGGGTTCCTGGTGGTGTGGCTTTTCTGCCGCACACACCACGCTCCTGCCAGCCTCGGTGCCACATGTTGCTTCCCTGCCGGGCTCGGCTACATTCTGCGGCCCCTCTCCCAGGGTTCCTCGGGGAGTGCCGCTAGGGTGGCGCACAGTCTGTTCCTGCTGGCCTCAGTGCCACATGCCGCTTCCCTGCCATGCTCGGTGGTATTCTGTGGTCCCCCTCTCGGGGTTCCTCCTGGGTGTGCCTCTGCCTCAGCATGCAGCCAGCTCCTGCCGGCCTTTGTGCTGCTCTCTGTTTCCCCACTCTGCTCAGCGGCGTCCCGCAGTGTCTCCTCACTGGCCATCTCTATCTCTCTTCCACTTCTCTCCTGTCCACTCTCCCGGCCCCTTTTTCATGGTCCTGCTCTTCTCCTGAGCTCTGCCTTTTCTCTCCTTTGATTTGCCTGGTCAGGCTGATCCGAGAATGGCATGCCTGAGCCTCTTGTCTCAGAATCCACCCAAAGCTGCCACTTATCAGCCCACCTATGTTGAGTAATGGGGAAAGTCTGGGTGGGCTATCTCTTCCCCTTTCACAGTCTCCACCATGTTTAAATAAAGACATGCCCCTCTTCTCCCACCCTGGAGCACCTGTATAGGTGCCCTTACTGCCAATTCTGATTCAGAATATTCTGTGTAGACTATGAGGAAATCACACATTTTGGAGGGTTAGAAAGTCCATTTACATCATAAATTAACCTGTAATGTTCTTCCCAGAGATGTCATCTTTGAGATGAGGTACAAGACTCAACTCCTGACCACCCTCAAATGGGAGAAATCCTGTGACAGTCTTAACCTAAGCAAGGAGGTTAATTGCATTGCCCTCTTCCTCTTTCACATATGTTTCCTTTGCACTGTCAGGCCCAGATTTTTGTACTTAAATATTCAAAAATGTGTATATTGCACAGTTTCAGTGTTTACATATATAAATGAACATCTGAGTTTGCAGTTGCCATTGCTGCTATGCAGTCACTGTAATCACATGTTGGAAATTGTATGTATACATTTTTACACAAATCTTTATGAAAATGAGTTGCATATGGCATTTTTTGTGTCTCGTGCTAAACTGACTCAGAGTGGTGTTTTTCGCTGTTAAGCAGCTGCTGCATTTCACCCAGATATTGCTACATTCCTTTGGATTGCAGTTATTAAAGCTCTTTGCAATCCTTCTGGATGTAAATGTACCGTAAATCATTATAGGTTAATTTCATGACAAGCAGTCAACTCCTGATATCAATTATCTGCTGGAGAAATACAAAAAGAAGGCAAGTAACTAAAGGCGAGCATATCCAAAAAGAAGGCAAGTTACTAAATCATTAAAACAGAATCATTTTTTTATTATTAAAAAATATCTTGTGGTTCACTTTGTGGACTTGTTTTGGCTCCTTCCCCTCCCCTCCCCTCCCCCCTTTGATTCTGGGGGAGAGGAAACCATTTTCACACAAACAGTCCTGAACCAATGAGGCCTGCAGTGCCTTTGGATTGAATTATGCCCAAGAAAGTGCAGGTGGCAGTTGCAACACTGCCAACCTCAGGAGTTCTGCCAAGGGCAGGCAGCTGCAAAGTCTGACCATAGCTCTGGGAGGTCTGACATTGGAAGCTGCCCAGTAAATATGTTGGATCACTACATCCCCTGGGAAACCAAGCCATTCCCACTCCTCATTCTGCCCCACCTACATTCTCTGCTGTGCCAGTTCTTCACTGGCCCATTGAAAAACACCCTGAACTGCTCTGACACCCTACATCCCAGCTTTGGATGGATTTTCCACCATTGGGCCCATCACCTAAATCTCTCCTAGCAGAAATTAGTGGAAGCCATTAGTGAATAAAGGCTAGTCCATGCAAAAATTGGATCCTGGAAACAAACCTAGTTAGTTACTAGGGGTGTGTGAAATGGACTGGATTTCATTTGGATTTGGTCCAAATCAGAGACTGTGATTCGATTTGTTGATTTGGATCACTGTGCAAGTTTGATCCGGCCAAATCCAAATCTGAAGATTCAATGCTGATTCTGAGAATCAGCGATTCAGCCATAGATGCAGCTTTTTAAAATGTTTTAAAATGTTTTTTCTACGTACCTCAAGGTACAAGGCACAGCTCATGAATGCTGCAATGCTGGGGCAGATGGAGCGTCCCATAAGAGCGCGGGGAGGCCCCTCGAGTGCTCAGCGGCGAACCTGGAAGTGGACCGGAAGTAATTCTGGTCCACTTCCAGGTCCACCGCCAAGTGCACGTGGGACACTCCCTCCCCCCTGCACTCTACTCAGCTCGGCAATTGGCAGCAGGGGGACCCCAGTTGCTCCCTCAGATCCAAAAGGCACCAGTCGGGGGGGGGGGGGGGGGGGGGGCGCGCGCGGCCAGAAATGCTTCTGGTCCACTTCTGGGTCCACCACTGAGCACACTGGGGCCCCCCGCCGCGCGCTCCCGTGGGATGCTCCATCCACCCCAGCATTGCAGCATTCACGAGCTAGCTTGAGGTATGTAGAAAAAACATTTAAAGCTGTGTCTGTGTCCAAACAATCAAATCTCTCCGAATTGATTCAGAGGGTTCCAGTTCGATTCAGAGAGATTAAAGGGTCTCCTGGCTTGATTCGGATTCGGAGATTTGGCTGCCGAATTGGGCCAAATCTCCGCTGAATCGAATCAGCGACTGAAGCTTTGCACAGCGCTATTAGTTGCTATTACAAAAGTAAAGGCCTACCAGTCTACTAGCAATGCCTTTTACTTGGCATCTGTGTCTTGAAAAGATAAATGCCAGGTTCAGACAAATAACCTAATAATTTTAAACTATGTTATAAATCAAAATGCATCTAGCAAGTACAGCAATAGACAACTATACATTTGTAGCTTCTCTTAACTGAATAAACTCTGTATGCTATATACAGGAATATGCCTATGCATATTTCAATTTATGCATTGTGATTGCTTCCATACTAGTAGAAATAAATTAAATACAGAATCCATGATGCAAAAAGAATAAAAATATACATATTATATAGAAAGACTGAGAAGCAAACAAGACCTATATGTCTCTATCACATTTTAATAAACAGAAGGCTGTGTGCTGAAAGCTGTAGGAATAGCAAAGTATAGAACTAATGCAGGTACTTGTGATTTCAAAGGTTATGCAATCAAAATTACTGTGAGAATCTATCATGAGACTGTTTATGAATCTGAAAAGTCTTCAAAGATTTCAAGGTAGGATCCTGGCCCCAGCTGGCGTTAATGAGTCTGTTGCCATTTGAAGTCCATGGGAGTAGGTTTTCTTTCCTAGAACTTTATATTTTAAATGACAGGTGGCTCAAAACAGAAATATTGAATCTGATTCTCCTAGAATTGTATATTTATAACTTTTGCACCTGAAGCTGCTTTTAAGGTTCTGTTTCTGGGTTATGTCTGGCATGGGTCTGGTACCCAGTCCTTTCCCCCTTGATTTCAGATGTTTTGGAATGCTTCTGAGAAACATTGGTCCCAGGAGATTTACCAAACTTTATCCAGATTTAGGACCTCTAGCCTAACTCTTTTTAAAATAAAATTGTCCCAATTATTATTTTTAAAAAGTGATTCCCATTTTATGAGTAAATTTTTTGTTTGAAAATTAAGAGTTTATACTAGCTTCTTTCTCCATGTGTAGGTATTCTTGTTAACCACATGAGAAATTCAGTATATATACTATGTAAAATTGTCTGCAAATGTAATTTTGCTACATGAGACATTACACCACTAAAATCTATATTGAGGAATACAAATGAAGCACAACTTAATATGTATGCCATTTTAATGAAAAGAACAAGAATCATTTTACCAGAAAATTAGTTTCATCTGGATTTGTAATTGAATAGTAGTAAGTTCACTGAACTCAAACAGTGTAAGGAGGTCCCAGAATAATATTAATGATATTTCAATCAGAAAATGAGTTTGATGTCTTAGCAAAAAAAGAATTGCTTGGATTATTAATCTAAATGAGTCACACAGTTATGTTTTCATCTTGTCTGTGATGCCACTTGCTTAATTTTAAAAAAAAATTATGTATGCTTTAATCTTTTTGTTGATACTTAAGAGAAATAAACTATTCATTATTTGCTATTCAGTGAGATTTTCAATCTTCCTTAAGCCCTCTATTTTATATTTCCATTTTTGTATATACTGTTACATTCTAATGCTATGAGGTGCAGGATATGGAAGTGTTTAAGATAATCCTTTAGGGTCCTATTCATTGAATAAGTTATTTGGGCCATTTCCCCATAAATTTATGATTTTTATATGCCAAAAAGTCACTTAAGCTTTTTCCAGAGTGATTCTCTCCTAGTCAGAAATAATACTATACAGTTATAGATTTGTCCATGTATAAATTCATTAAAATCCATTATATACTTCCATTACATGGAGATAGTTCTCACACCTGTTCAGAATACCTCATTTAATCCTTGTCCTGGCATTCACATGCCAACCATCCAATGTTAACCCTCGCTGTGTTCTGCTCAGAGCACCTTGGCTGATTTATATATATTCTAGTCCAAGCATATTTAACTTTTTTCTATCTGTGTATCTCCCATCTATCTGCATCTATCTCTAATCTTTACTAATTATGCCGCTGTTCAGTGTAAACCTATGACACATCACATGTAGCTGATGAAGTATGTACTCTTGGACAGTCATATTACAAAACTTTCACTTCAGCCTGCTCCCAAGACCTCCTTATCTCTCCCTCTGCATATCTACCTTCCTTTTTCTTGTTTATCTAATTCTCTCCTTCATTACCCCTCCCCTTCACTAAGTGGAACTGATATTATGCTAGCAAACCCAAATACTGTTCATTCTGCTTCTATCTCTTCTATCTCTTTGGATTCCCTCTTGTCTATGTTTTGTGCTTAATTATATACCTTATCACTAAGTAGTTCTACTATGTCTAGAACGGGGCCTTGATCTTAGCTGGTGTCTAGGGCTAGGTAGAGACATTCAAAACGCCTGAGGCAGAATCCATCTAAGTTAAACAGTTTTCTGTACATGGTTTAGTTTAGATCAGTAGTGAACAGAACAGACATTCATCCTTTGATGAGAGGCAGCAAATCTTATACTGGATTCAGCCATTTTTAAACCAGTTTATGCGTGCCGAATTTCTGCTTTGTTATGGGTATAGACTGGTTTTTGATCACTTATACTGGTAAAAGTGTAATGTGTGTAACTGGCCCAAGTCAGTGATTCTCACCTAGAGTGCTACAGTATCTGGGGGGTGCTGCGAGTGTGTTGCAGGATGCCATGTAATATTAACACTGTTAGATGTGCAAACACCTACACATGATTCACAAGATAAACCCAAGGATTTCAAATAGAAATCCAGTGTCAAAACCATTCTGACATGTTGTGGTCTATCTGAGTTCTTTGCCATGTAAGTATTGCTCTATTTTTTTCTGTAATAAATGAACAGGTGAAATTAGTCTTTGAAATGGGGTGCCACCTAATTCATAAAAGTTATGGAGGGTCTTGAGTTTAAAAAATTGAGAATCACCGATCTAAGTATTACCACAATGCAATCTACTTACTCTTATGGGGGGGGGTTCTCTGTACTACTTTGTGATGGAAATGTGGTTGTGCAGCTGTTCAAGGTCTAGTTTGGCATACTGTGTTTAATTATGTTCAAAGCTAACTTATCCCGATGTAGAGCATCATCAGAGAACTGTGTGGTGCCCATTTAAATTCTGGGTCTCTTGACTCTTGTCCACCCCACATGTTCTCTTCTATAGAAGATGAGGAGCACCAGATTAAAGCAGAGCCTGTTTCTATTGTAATTTACAATGACATTGTGATTCCAGGGAACTTGTCTGGAGTTGCATCTCTGGAAATGAGACAATAATTTGGCTAGGTATGCATATGATACTTTCCAGCATAGCCTCTGCAGATTCTTAAAGAGGGAACAGAACTAAGAGTCAGAGTAATTTTTCTTTCAGTCTTGTTCCCTAATAGTATGCTTTTAAAATAATTTGACTCATAAAAACCAAATGGAGTTGCCCTATGTTAAACATAATCAAAAAGCAAGGTACTGTCATTTTGAGCTACTTTTTCCCTTAAGGTTTAGCACTAGATGGAGTTTCAAAGTACTGGCTGGATTTTGGTTGAATGAATCCCATTGACTTTTCAGAAGTGTGTGCCTGAACCCCTGCAAACTGGTCTGAAAATGTAGGGGTTATTGTTTTAATGAGCTATTTGACATGTTGCACAAAGAAGCCAGTAACACTATTTGACTACTCTTGTTTACCAAGGCTTAGAATAAACAAATAGACCATTATAAAAGGACATAGGTTAATGCTGTAGCTCCTCTGTAAGTCATTCGACCCTATGAGAATGACGTGATATCTGTAAGAGGGACTCATAAGCAGAGTGCATTGCTTACCCTTCTCATCCAAATCTCTCTTCCAGCTACTGCAAGTTGTAACCAGTGCTGTGTAGAGCAGTTGCAAATGCATTAGCCTTTTCCAGGGGGGATTTAAATCCATCAACATGAATGGCGTTGATGCATAGTTCAGGTGCAGCTTTGCTAGCTGACACCTAGTAACAAGTTCCATGAGTTTAGTTGACATGTCAGTGTTTCATTTTTCTATCCAATAAAAATAAAACTTTGCTAGAATCAGTCTCACATCTGGCATATATATGTGGATGGAATTCTTGGAAGAATACACATTAAGTCTAGCATATGGACTGATTGATACTGGACATGCATTTAGTGAGCCTTTAGTGAGAGATGATCTGTTACACTAATATATAATTTTTAATAGGAGAAGAACTTTGGTAAGGATCTGACAAGAGAATATATATATATATATATATATATATATATATATATATATACACACACACACGCATATATATACTCCTGTTGCCATAGCTTTATCCTAAGATCACCAAGTGATTTTTTTTTACAATGAAGAAAACTTTAGAATAATTTATTTCAAAGACTGTAAATAAAGAATTTCAGATATTTAAAAATGAGCTTTATTTGCATGAGGAAAAAAGGACTTGAATTCTCTACTAGTACTAGAAATAGAATTACATGATCAATCATGACAAATTTTAGGTGTATTTTACTGACAAACGAACTAACTGACTTTTCCCATGAGAAAGAATAAATGTTGTAGTTAATTGGCAAGGCTAGGAATCAGGAGTTCTGGGCTTTCAGCCTAAATCTTCCATCTACTTGCTGTGTGACACTGAACTTTAACTTCCTTTATACTTTCATTTCTCTATCTGTAAATGCAGATAATAGTGGTCCTTATCTCACAGCAGCCTTGTGAAAATTAATGAATGGTCATAAAGTACTTTGAAATCCTTAAACAAAAACAGCTAAGGAAGCGGAGGGTATTATAGATCTCATTTTCACCATTCAAAAGATCGATATTCTTTAAAAGCAGATTTTGCTGCCAAAAAAAAAATTAAAAGAGGCAAGGATTTGTTTGGATGATATCTTTTATTGGGCTAACTGTAAGGCTGGAATAAAGTTGGACAAGGTTTCGAATGCAAAGTATTCTTCTCATTGGTCCAATGAATAAAAGTTATCAGCCAAGCAAATTTTTGCCTTGTATCATTTCTGGGCCATCATGGCTACAACATTACTCTAGCACTACCCAAAATTAAGCAACTAAATGTACTGTATGAACAGCAGTAGAACAGCTGTTGTGATCAATGGTGTAGTCCACCTGATGTCAACACTGTTTAAAGTAGAATGCAGAATATATTGTAACCTTCTCTGCAAAAGTGGAATAAATAACAACTATATGGTTTTAATCCTTAGGGTGGGATCCTGCAATATGAGGTGTATGCCTTAGTAAAACAGTTCCTGGGTCATGTCTGCTCAGCAGTTTTTATATAATACATCAGATTCTGTGAACACAAATAAAAGGTGCTTTCTTTCTAACAATGATTTCCTTTGGTTTGTTTTTAGGATTGCCCTTCAGATGTTGGTGACTTTAGAGCACAGCAATGTTCAGCCTACAATGATGTCAAGTACCAAGGACATTTTTACGAGTGGCTTCCTGTATATAATGATCCCAGTGCACCTTGTGCTCTTAAGTGTCAAGCGTTGGGGAAAAACTTGATTGTAGAGCTTGCCCCCAAAGTATTAGATGGCACTCGCTGTAATATCGAATCTCTGGATATGTGCATCAGCGGCATATGTCAGGTATGTCAGTGTTTTCAGTTACACCATGTGTTTTGATGTGAAGCATTTTGTTCTATTTTAGGATATAAGTACAACATGAAAGGAAGGCTTATTTGGATTTTATTCTTCCAGACTGTTGTTCTTTGCTGCATTTGTTCGTCTTTTCCACCTCACAGCGTGACTGTTAATATTTCTGCAAGTGCCCATGGTTGATCTTGAATGCTATCCATTGTAGTCAGTTTTGTCTTTTAGTGTACTCATAAACACCTAAACTATCCTCTGTTAAATAACACTTCAGTTTATAAAATTATCAATCATCTCAATAAAGCTAACCTGTAATCTGAAATTAGCTAGTCTATTAATCACTAGTGCACCTGTCATAGTCATGTCATGGCAGCACAATTTCACAGATCTTTCAGAATATGTCACTTGATTCTGCACTTCTGCTTTGTATTTTGTTAAGTTCTTGACCCTGCTCCCAGTGCAGCTAATTGAAAGCTTCATTTGAACTTAGGGCCATAGGAAAGTAGGGCTGGAAAGGACCTCACATAATCAACTAGTTCAGCCCCCTGCTCAAAACAGGAGGATCCCTGACTAAACCATCCCAGCTGAGTGTCTGTCCAACCTTTTCTTGGAAACTTCCAAGGCTGGAGATTCCACAGTTTCTCTAGGTAGTCTATTCCAGTGCTTGACCACCCTCATAGTCAGAAAGTTCCTCTTAATCTCCAACCTAAATGTGCTCTGTTGTAGCTTGCAGCCATTGCACCTAGTCCTGTCCCATATGCCCAGAAAGAAAAACCCATCTTCATCTTCTCTATAAACACACTTCATATATTTGTAGACTTATCAAACCCACCCTCAGTTTTCTCTTCTCCAGACTAAATAACCCTATTTTTTCAGTCTTTCCTCATAAGTCTTGTCTCCCAGGCCTCAATCCCAGGCCTTTTGTTGCTCTGTGCTAGACTCTTTCCAAATGGTCCACATCCTCCTTGAAGTGTGGGGCCCAAAACTGGACATGGTACTCCAAGTGAGGCCTCTCCAGTGCTGAATAGAGTAGAAGAATCACTTCCCTTGATTTACAAGTGATGTTCCTATTAATACAAACCAGTATGCAGTTGGCTTTTTTCACACGAGCACACTGTTGGCTCATATTTAGCTTATGGTCCACTGTAAATCCCAGGTCCTTCTTTGAAGTACTGCAGTCTTGCCAGGCATTCCCCAGCCTGTATTTGTTTATGCAATTTTTCTGTCCCATGTGCATGGACTTTGCACTTGTCCTTGTTGAATATCATCTGATAGACTGGAAAAATGGTCCACAATCAATCCAGGATATTCTGGATCATAGCTCTGCCCTCCAGGGTGTCTGCAATTCTATCCAACTTGGTGTTATCCACAGTTTTGCTAAGTGTGTACTGAATTCCATCATCCAAATCATTCATGAACATAATAAACAGTATTGGTCCCAAGACAGACCCCTGGGAAACCTCCCTTGATACATCTTCCCAGCTAGACATTGTGCCATTAATGACTACCTGTAGCAAACAAAGATCAAACCAGTTATGTATTCACCTTATATTACTTTCACCTAGTCTGTATTTTCTTACCTTGTTAATGAGAGTGTCATGGGAGACCAGTGTCAAAAGCCTTCCAGGCTGACTGGCCATAATTTCCTGGATCCCTTCTTTCCTTTTTTTAAAAATGGGCACTCTATTTGCCCTTTTCCAGTCATCTGGGACCTTGCTTGACCTCCAAAAGTTCTCAGAGGATAGCTAATGGCTCTGAAATTACCTCAGCCAATTCCTTCAGTCGCCTCGGGTGCAGTCCATCTGGCCCTGCTGACTTGATTGCATATAGCTTCTCTGAGCAATCCCTAACCTGTTCTTCCACTACTCTAGGTTGTTTGTGTCCTTCCCTACCTTTTCTGCCAACTGCACTTGTCATCTGGTAGCTGCTCTTATTTGGGAAGACGGAAGTAAAAAAATACATTAATGCACTTCAATATATCCAGGATTGGACTGCTAAATGTGTCACAACCCAAGGGTGTGATTTTGTTTGTGTGCTCTTCGGCACTGCTAAATTATTTCCTGCCACTCGGAGCTTTCTTTGCAGGGTGCATTTCGTAGCTGCAAAGAGAAATGCACGGTGCAAAGGAGTTCCCGCCATTCGCATGCAAATTTGTGTCCCACTATTGGCCAGTTCTAAATTATTCCCACGTGGTGGCTAGTGATTGGCTTGCTAGCCGTATAAGAGGCTTGAGTGGTTTCCGCCCAAGTTGGAGAACTCCACAACCATCTGGAGGAGGAGAACTTCACGTCTCGTGAAGATCTCTAAGCGCTGCGGAGTCTATCGAACCCAGTGCAGGCTATAGGGGTCTGATCAACCTCTGGCCTCTCCCCATCGCCGAACGATCCCTCAACGAACCCTTTCCCTGCGCGCAAGTTCCACGGAGCCTAGCAAACTTCGTGTGAGTGTATCCAGAGCTCTGTCCGGGTTCGAGTCCTGCAGGTTTATCTTCCCGTCGCCGAAAACCCCCTGCGACGTACTCTCATGTTTTGCATCTTCCCATCGCCGAAAACCCCCTGCGACGTACTCTCGTGTTTTGCATCTTCCCGTCGCCGAAAACCCCCTGCAATGTACTCACGTGCCTTGCAGGTTCGAGTTTTGTTTTGTTTTGTTTTGTAACTGCAACTCAAGCAAGTTTTCCTGCCTGCACCACGACCATCTTCGGTGTAAGTAAATAATCTTTAATCAACCGCTAAGCGTCCGTGCCTAATTCTAGCCCGCCGGCCTGCATTCCCCAACTCGGCGTGTCCGGGCTGCTGGCCACAGCCCGCTGCACGCAGGCCCCCGAGGGCCTCAGACCGCTCCCGGCCCGCACAAAATGTGTGTTCTCTCTCTTGTTTATTTTCAGGAAAGAGTTCCCAGCTTACATACAGGGTATTACTGTGTAGGAAGGCTTTCACTGAGAGGTGCATCCAATGTAGTACTACATAGGACACTTCAGATTTATGGACAGGAATTCTTCAGCAGAGGGCCTGCCAATCACAAAACATTATCTATGGCACTCAAAATTACACATGTGGCTCTGTCTGCTGCCAAATTCCTGATGAATACAACTCTTGCTATTGAGTTGTTTCATCCCAAACTGCTAGGGCCTAGTCCACTGAGTGTGGTATACATTAGCAGCTAACCCAATATTGGAATTAATCTGATATTGAACAAAGAACTAGCATAGAATTAGAGCAAATTTTACTGTTGGCCTGTAGCAGCTGGCAAACGGGGCGCTACATCTTGAGCCAACTGGAGCTTCCGTATGGCCATTATTTTCATGATCAGTTGTAGAATCTTGCAGTATCAGTGCCTGGAATTGCTGAATGCCTGGCACACCATGGGCAGGCCAGGACCAGAAGGCAACCTGGCAATCCAAATATATAAAAAGGAGTTCTGGCTTCTGTGTTATGTGGGTCTTTTCAACAGCTGGGTGTTCA